TGGCTAAAAACGCTTTGGTGGACACACGTTATTGAATATTTATTGTTAGGCATATGGCCTATTAGTCTTTTTTGGATTTATGCAATATACTGGAGCCAAACCTGAGAAAGTAGACCAGAATATTCCACTGCGTTCCTGGACACGCAATTTGCGTAGCTGTAATTCATAGGCGGGGATTAGGGTAATTGTGAATGAGCGTATGATTATTTACGAAATGATTGGAATTCATTAACATATGCATGTTTAACTATCAAATCGGAAGTTTACGAAGCGTTTGTGAATCCGGAGGAGAGTTTCCGGGAAGGTCCGTTTTACGCGCAAATTACTCCGAATTTACTCCTATTTACTAATGTTTCATGAATGAGGCCCAATGAGTTGTTGAATCAAGAACAGCCGCAACTGGATCAGTCTGATTCACGAATGATTCTTTTAGTGTGATTTGTGGAATGATTCAACAGGAAAGAATCAGCTCGTTCATGAATCAGACATCGATTCGGATGGTGATTTCTTCAGTTTGAAATAACAAGGAGTGTTATGTTTCTATGAAATGCGATATTAAAATATTTACTTGAAATATCTCCGAGGAAGTTAATATTTCAATAATTTAACAGTTCTCTGATGTCGGTTAATGGTCACACTGACATGCAGGTAAACAAATAAAATATTTCTATTTTTAGTGTTCAAGTGTTTTTACATTAGTTTTACTGTACATTTTTATGATTTAATTAATTATTAGCTTTTTATCAACTCACAAACCCACTGCAGCTCTTTCATTTAACAGACTACAGTTTGTAAGTCATCTACCCCGCATATAAAGTACAAAAGTATAATATTATGCTTCAGAATGTAATGCGGTAAAAGTTTCCTAAAATAGAAAAAATTTTCATTAATTCAATAACATGTTAATGTCATATTATTACTATTAAAATTTATATTAAAAAAATGGAGCATTATCTGGCACAAAATTTATGACAAACTATGTTAACAATCTAACATCAAACTCAAACGCTTGTTAATTATAAATATATTATAAATCTATATATAAAAGACAGTAAAGTGTTTCTGGTTGTCGTGTAAGCGGTGAGTGTTTGATTGACAGGCAGTGGGCGGCCTTTCTCACCGGTCTCGCAGTATGGCTGCCCGTCCTCCAGGTGGAAGGTGTTGTTGCGGATGGGCTGCTGGCAGCCGGTGCACAGGAAGCAGTACACATGCCAGGTTTGCTTCAGGGCGTTGATGACTTCCTGTTAGCAGATGAGAAGCGTTGATTAGCAGCGGCTCTGAGCACAGCCCGCTTTCCTCACGCATACCACTGTTACATCTACAGCAGCAGCTTCTGTTCCAGCCCAACCAGTCAGACCGAAAATATTATGTAATCCTTGAGATTTTGTTAATATTTGAATATTTCAGCAACTCATTTACATTTACGGTTTTCAGATGTCAATTAATGGTCACATGACATGCAGCTAGACAAATAATATTTCATCATTTTAGTAAGTGTTTTATTTAGATTTTATTTTTTAAATTATATATGCATATTTGAAAATAATATATGTATGAGAAAAGAAAAGAAAAATGCCTGGATAGAGAGAGACATTTTTTTAGAATTTATAATATTAAAATAGTATATATATTACAAAGGCATGATTATAATATTACATTAAATATTATAAAAATTATAATTAATAAATTGCATGTATTTATTATCATTTACAATATTTATATAAATTAGGGCTGTCAAATCGATTAATTGTACTATGTCTATTTATATGTATATATAAATATTTAAAAAACACACATACATGTTTATATTTAAGAAATCTATTTATATATGTAAATTTATATATAATATAAATCATGTATAAATATATATACATGTAAATATTTCTTAAATACATACCTGTATGTGTGTGTATTTATATACATATAAATATACACAGTACACACACATATATCATGTAAACACAAACTTTAATTTTAGATGCAATTAATTGCGATTAATCGATTTGAGAGCCCTAATATACATATGTATTTATATAAGGGTGTTTACATTATATGTACATTATACATTATCCTGTGAACAGAGCCAATCTGAGCTGCTGAAATCATGAGCTGCTCGCGTGTAGATAAACACAGTGCCTTTACTCTCACAGACTATAAACGTATTTAATTAAATCACAGCCATTGATTTAATAATCAGACTAGCTATAACACGATTTTACATTATTTTAATTGTGCAGGCCCTTTTTTATATTAAGTTTACCTTCAATTTAATTATTAGCTTTTCATCAAATCACAAACCCCTGATTAGAAACCCCAGTGCATTTAAAGGGGTCCTATTATGTTTTTTCACTTTTTCAACTTTAGTTAGTCTGTAATGTTGCTGTTTGAGCATAAAAAAGATCTGCAAAGTTACAAAGCTCAAAGTCCAATTCAAAAGGAGATATTTTATTTAACAGAAATCACTTTTCAAAAGTAAAAGAGCATAATAGGACCCCTTTAAAACATGGACTGAAATTGATCTTGAGACAATCAGTGATTGACTAACACACTGATCAGATCTATAAACTGAGTGCAGATCTGATCTAATGTTGTTCAAACAAGTTTCTGGACCTCCTGTAAATGAAATGTGATCTTCAGACAATGAAACAGGTGTTTTAAGGCTCATTATCCGAGTGAAGCCCTTCCGCCCGAGCGGCTCGGCGTCCCGTGTGTTTCTGAGGCAGGTTCATGTGAAGTGCTAATTGTGACACATCTGAGCGGCTGGGACCAGATAAACCAGACCTTATGATCCCGATTAAAGCCCGTTCCCACAGAGAGAACAAGAGGAGGGAGGCTGGGAATGACGAAGGAATGAAGCTTTACAGGGAAACAATCATGGAGAAAACGAGGAGAGGAGACGGTGATGACGGGATGATGCTCACGTACAGCAGCTCTCAAACTAGTTAAGAGCATCACTCGTGACGAACAATTATATTATTTAAATTATAAGTATTTAAGGGGACAATTATATTTAAATGTATAATTATATTTAAATAATAATAAAAAAATATAATATTTTATATAATATTTCAAATATCTATATTTGATAAATATATATATATATGAAAATATATATATGAAAAAAAACAATATATATATATATATATATATATGAAAATGTATTTCAAAATATTTAAATACAATCAAAATTACTGTTTCAGATATTATATATTTAAGTATTTCTGTCACTTATACTTAATAAATACACTGCCGTTCAAAAGTTTGGGATCAGTAAGATTGTTATTACTTTTTAAAGAAGTCTCTTCTGCTCATCAAGGCTGCATTTATTTGATCAGAAATACTGAAAAAACAGTAATATTGTGAAATATTTTTACTATTTAAAATAGCTGTTTTCTATGTGAATATATTGTGAAATGTAATTTATTTCTGTGATCGAAGCTGAATTTTCAGCATCATTACTCCAGTCTTCAGTGTCACATGATCTTCAGAAATCATTCTAATATGCTGATTTATTATCAATGTTGGAAACCGTTTTGCTGCTTCATATTTTTTGGAATCTGTGAGTTTTTTCAGGATTCTTTGATGAATAAAAATTTTAAATGAACAGCATTTATTCAAAATAGACTGGAGTAGTGATGCTGATGAAAATTCAGCTTTGCATCACAGAAATAAATTATATTTTCAAGTATTTTAAAATAGAAAGCAATTATTTTAAATTGCAATAATATTTCACAATTTTACAGTTTTTTCTGTATTTCTGATCAAATAAATGCAGCCAGCAGAAGAAACTTCTTTAAAAAAACATGAAAATTCTTACTGATCCGAAACTTTTAAACGGCAGTGTATATTTAATTTTATCAGACAACAGTTGAGTTACAGTCACACCACTGAAGTTAATAGTTAATAGTGTCACTGATTTTAATTAATTACAGTCCAATGAGACACACGATTTGTGGAATCATTCACAAATGCTGCAGGATGATGGAAAAACAGAACTTTGAACATTTTTTTTTTTTTTTAGAAGGAAGCAATAGTAGACTTGGTGAACACCACTAACTAGCAACACAAACTCTCACCCCCAGAATTTTCTGCTGGCATTTGAAGCAGGCCGGGGCCAGAAACTGCTCATAACAGCGCTCGCAGTAGACGGAGCCGCGCTCCTCCACGAAACCCACATCTGCCAGAGAACTGTGACAGTGAGAGCAGGTGAACTCCTCCTTATGCCACGATTTGCCCATCGCCACCAGGTACGGACCCCTGCAAACACCAGAGACCAATATCATCGTTTTAGTATCATTCAGCTACAAATCTATTAGATGACAACCACTCGGAGTCATTATAGATAAAACTAAAACCATTACTTGAAATACATGTTAACTGAAATAAAATATTATTATTATTAAATTTTAATTTCAGCTAGTGGCCAAGGCAACATTCCTCATGGTTACAAAATTTGTAACAAATGTAACACTATCAGTTTAAAATGTCAGTCTAAAAGTTTGAGGTCAGTCAGATTGTTTTTTTTTTTGCTTTTATTCATCAAGGAAACATTAAATTTGTCAAAAGTGACAGTAAAGACATTTATAATGTAACAAAAGATTTGTTTCAATTAAATGCTGCTCTTTTGAACTTTCTATTCATCTGTGAATCCTGAAAAATAAAAAGAATCACCGTTGCCACAAAAATATGAAGCTGCTAACTAATGTATATTATTTTAAAAAGTAATAATTACATTGAAAATTAACTAAAACTTAAATAAAATAAATAAAAATAGACATTTAACAAAAAAAACAAAAGCTAATAAAAATGACAAAAACAAAATAAAATCACTAAAACTTTAATTATAATTTAAATGTTTTGTAGTATCATTTAAATGCTATTAAAGTTTTTATTAATTTATTTCTTATTTTTATATCTTAATTTAATTTTTTTCTATCAGTTTTAGTAACTTTGTTGTGTTTTTGTCTTTTTATTTTTAATTTTTTTCCTCTCAATTATACTAAAATAACACTGTATCCACCATAAAAATGGTTTTCCTCATAAAACACATACAGCACTAATGAACAGAGAAGATGAATGATCACTTTTGAGTCAATTACTGCTCTAAGCATGTAGAATTTGACTATCGCGCCGTCTGTCCTGACACTGTGAAAACAGCCGTTCTGATGTGATCTGATGTGGAGAATCTGTTGAGGTAACGTGAGGATGGCAGCGGGGATGCGGCTGACAAATCGGATGATTAGCCTGAAGGGAAAACAACAGACACTGGCGATATCAGATGCAGAAAGCAGAGACTTTAAGCTTGGATGTCAGGGCCGCTTCGGCCAGGAGTCTGGCAGTCTGTGGCGTAACGGATCCTGCTCTCTGGAGACGAGCTGAAGGAGTCTGAGCTCCTGAAACATCAGCATTCACAGCCAAAACCCTTCAGACGCTCGCTTCTCGGCAAATTAAACTTCACACAGCATCACACTAATGTTACCTTTCACTCTCAGCTATTATAACATGAAGGTCTTGTGTAGGTGTTCAGCGTTACAAAACCTGTAACAAATGTAACACTACTGTTCAAAAGTTTGAGATCAGACAAATGCTGACAGAAACTAATACTTTTATTCATCAAGGCTGCATTAAATTGATCCAAAGTGAAGTAATGATGCTGAAAATTCAGCTTTGATCACAGAAATAAATTACATTTTACTATATATTAGAGCCTGACCGATATGGGTTTTTTGGGGCCGATACCGATATTAGGGAGTAAAAAAGGCCGATATCGATATATCGGCCGATATTCTTTGAACAATTAAAAAAAATTTCATATCGGCGGCATATTCGCCGATACCAATATATCGGCAACAGGCTCATATCGGCAAAACGATATATCGGTCGGGCTCTACTATATATACACATAGAAAGCGTCTATTTTAAATTATAATATTATTTCACTATTTTTACTGTATTTTGGATCAAATAAATGCAGCCTTGGTGAGCAGAAGAGACTCTTTCAAAGACATAAAAAATTATTTTGAATGTAAGTTACGTCAAAAAAATATATAAATACCTAAATGGAAAAATAAATAATAATATAATATTAATACTCAAAACACACATAAAAATATATAAATGTATTCTTTATCATTTTAAACCCTCAAGTTCCCAGACATGCCAAATAAAAGTAATGTAAAATTTTTCACAAAGGACTTATCAAATTTAGTTTCGAGTCAGTTCAGAAAAGTTATAAAGTATCAGCCTGATGCTTCAGTGTGTTTTGAGCTGCTAAAATGAACACTATCGTTTAGATGAGTTTATCTGGGCCTGAATGAACGATCTATTGTGTGAATAATATCAGAAAGATCCTCCACATTCAGATAACCTTTTCACACGGAATGAAGTTTGTCTTTTCTTTGGAGTTGCTTTTAGGATTGTGAAACATGAACTTTCTCATGTTTTGTGTTTCTCATGTACAATGACAATAAAGAAGCTCTTTTAATTGTTATTTGTGACAAGAGGGGCGGGGTCGAGAGCCGTGGGAACGAAGCGAGGCCGGTGGAGTAATTGCTAATGCGCGACACCTGCCCCACTCACCGGTCTCGAGTCTCACGGAGGAGCTCCGGAAGGATAAAAAGGAGGAGGGACGACAGTGAAAGACGAGAGAGGACCAGGCCTGGAGTTTATTTTGTGCTTTGGTTTTGTTTGTGCGCGACAGTCGTCCGCGAGGGGCTGTCGCGCTATTTTGTGTTTGTTTATTTTATTAAAGATTTCATTGAGTGTTCGCCGGTTCCCGCCTCCTTCCCGTGACTACGAATTTTGCTACATTATTATTGATACAGTTTTATTATTACTACTATTATTATTTATTTCTTTCTTTCTTGAGATGTTACAGGTCACATACTTTATGCCAATACAATTATTGTAATTTTAACTGTAAAAGACTGTCAAATCTGTTCATTTATTAATGGTAAATTCCCTTACTTTATATGGTAAAAAATAAAGTAAATCAACATACTGTTGAATGTATTGAATGAATGTTGACTAAAATTTTTAATCTAATAAATTACATGATGTGCCCATTAATTAATCTAGCTGCAAATTAATTCCACATCAATTTTGGCTGAGAAATCATGGTGTTAGATGTGAAATGCATTGAATAGATATTACAAAAAGTAGCTTCAGAAATAAATATTTTGATTCAACATTCCATTCATAATGATAAATTGGTATTAATAGATGAAATATGAAATGGTTTAAAAAAAAAGATACTCTAAACGTGAAACTAAGTGCCAACAGGTAGCGGCGAGTCATTGAATAATTCACTCAACCGATTCATTCAAACAGCTGATTCATTCAGATACGAAGCTAGTGACTATATTTATGAATGAGTCACTGAATCACTGACTCACTTGATTCGTTCAGTAATGAATCACAGGACACATTATCTGTGTATTTTCCGTAATCTCTGTGTGAAAGAGGCTTCAGAGACACACAACAGTTCTGCTGTGGCTTTGACTGGAACTGTATTTGTTTGTGAAATTGGAGCATTGACTATATTGTATCTATTATTATTCTTGTTTATTGAACTGTTGTGTTAAATGCATTAATCATTTTAACACATTATTTTTCCATATTATATTATATTTATTTAGAAGTTTTATATACTTCCATACTTCTAGCAACCACAGCTGCTGATTCTTCTGAAAATTTTACAGCATTTTGTTTAGGGAAAAATAAGTTTATAAAACGGAGAGTTCCGGTCCTTGATTCTGATTGGCTGAGCCACGTTCGAAGCTGTTGTAAATTACTCTACAAACATACACCTTTGTTTACGTTTGTCTGTTGCTTGGCAACCACTTTGTTGCAACCACAACTGTTTCTGAGGAGCTACATTGTTTGGCTGAAGAATACTGTTTTTATTAATATCATTACTCTTTATTTGCTCTGTTTTATTCTGTGAAACCTTACTACGTATATGGAATAACCGTTTTATAAAAGCAATAAGCCCCGTGAAGCCGTGGTTAACAGTGAATTTATAACAGCTAAGGGGGTTGTACAACAATGCCCCTTAGCGGTTATAAATTCACTGTAAACCACGGCTTCTTGGGGCTTATTGCTTTAATCTAATCATTTAACAATGGTTGAATCTTTGTGAATGTGTGTTGAAGAGGATTAAATGACACATTGACCGCTGTTGTATCATGATGAAGGTGTGTGAGCGTCTCACCTGATGACCATGTTGCACTGGCCGCACATGGGTGTGCGTTTTCCCGCCGGGATGTGCTCGGCTCTCTGCACCAGCGAATCGTCCTGGTCGCTGGGGTGAACCTGAGGCGTGGGTCGATCCGGGCCCTTGGGGAGGCTGTTGCTGACCCGTCCGAACGAGGGGCCCGTCTGCGGCGCAGGTGCACCTGCTTTGGGCAACCCTAATCAAAGAGAAAGAGATTTCAATCTGGGCGACCCCTCGCTGAACTTCACCCACAACAACAGCGCGGTAATGAGATCGCGATATTGTGCGCGGCTATGTAGCGTGACTGAAGGTGATGGAAAGTTCTGGTTAAGATATACGAACTCCATCTCTTCTGAAGGGACCATCTGCGGACGGGACATCCACACCGTGCCGCCGCAAAACAATGGATCGGTTTACTCAAGTCGGGAAAAGAAACAACATTCCCAGAAGTGGAGGAGACACCTGGCAAAATAATCCCTTCTCTCGGACAAGCCTTCCCTTCTCTGCCCGCCTCCGGAGAGACAGAGGGGGTCAGAGGTCACGCAGAGGTGCGGCACACAGCGGCTCATTCAGAATCAAAGGCGCGCGGGTCACGCAGCGAATGCACCCTTGGTTTCCGAGCCGGTGAGAATGGATCTGCTTGTAAGGGTGTGAAAGTGACACGTTGGTGCGCAGACGCGCTTTTATCTGCAGCTGATGGACATCTGGAGGAAGTGTGTGCCGCGCTCAGCTCAGCTGTGTGTGTGTGTGTGTGTGTGTGTGTGTGTGTGTGAGTGAGTTTGTGTGTGTGAGTGTGTGTGTGAGTGAGTGAGTGAGTGAGTGAGTGATGTGTGAGTGTGTGCGAGTGTGTGAGTGACAGACATCTTCAACACATTTGATAAGCTCTGGTGTTTTCTGATCAGAAATCAGAGTAACTGATGTGCCAATAAATGTGTGCATAATGTTTTTTTTTTTAAATAAACATCATGATTTTATTAACCTAAAAAAAAAAATGTAAACTGTAAAAATCTTTTGTCAGTTTATGGCTTCAATATTTCATGTGTGCATGTTGGCGTAGCTGAAACGCCCCTTTCATTTGATTGGTCAAACAGCCCCGTCTTCTGTTCTGCATGAATTCATATTGGGTTGTTTATTACTTGTGAGGGTTGTTTATTACTTTTATATGTAATAACATTAATTATGACTGTGAAGTAGGCACTACCTGTTTTTCTAGGTCAAAAAAAAAAATTAAGCACAAGTCAAACTGCCATACCAAACAGGAGATGGCAAAAGACTTGCCTTGATTGCATACACTACTATACGGATCCTTTCAGAAACGCTAAACCACAACTTACTTACTGTAAAACACACTTCTTTAGCCAGCATCCATTATAAAACACTCGCAGGATGACTTTGACGACTGGTCTAGAGTTCAGTGCGCCGAGAGTGCGTGCACGCGGTTTGTTTGCGCATCAATAATAACGGACGCACGCGCCGAATGTCACACCAGCATATAATTATGTGCCCAGCAACATATTTCATCTTAAAATTGCATGTGCAGTTAGTGAATGGTGGTGTGCGACAATATTTTATTAAAGTGTAAAAACATTGGCAGTACTGTACCGATTCTTTATGAATTAACGCAGTACAGAAGACGGGGCTGTTTGACCAATCAGATGAAAGGAGCGTTTCAGCGACGCCCACATGCGCACATGAAATACTGAAGCCATAAACCGATAAGTAAACCACAAACAAAATAAGAGACATCGAGCCATTTTCCGTTTGTTAAACAACAATCTTTCCATTTCTCGAGGGTATTCCCTCCACAGAACGCCAACTTTCAATTTTTAGTTCATACAGAAAATCGGAAAAATTAAATATTGACAGTTTTTTAACCGTTTTTTACAATTTATCAAATCATTCTGAATTCCCAAAACTCATTCCTGAATCAAACAGAACTGATTCGCCATCTACCCAAAGACTCACACTCCTACTTAACTTTGCAAACCACACCAAATATAAATATGAATATAAGTATGAGCATATAAATGACACCAAATCAAATGGGAGAATATATAAGCTGGTTAATGAGGTTGTCTAACAGAACTAAATCAGATTCTGATCTCTCCAGATGATTGAGTAGCAGCAGGTCAAAGGTCACAGAGGTCAGAGTCAGCACGGGTTTCTCCTGCAAGCCTCCTGAAGGAATCGTCACATCCTGAGACCGAAGCGAGAGAAGATAAGCACTTCCTCTCAGCTGAGGAGGAAACAGAGCTGTGTGTCAAACAGGTCTGTGGGAACTTAGTAGTAGGCAGATCGTGAGGTCGACTACTGAGGGCTTTTCTTTACAAAAACATGGTTTGGCAAGCCAAAAGATACTATACTACAAAAAATACTAAACTATACTAAACTAGTCTAGGTCTAGTGAGTTTTAATATTTTTTTAACATTTTAAGTATATATATTATATAAATATCAACATTTTATATATTTATAAATATGTCATAAGTATATATATATATACATTAAAATCATACATACATAAGTATATATATATACATACATACATTAAAATCACAGTATACAATGTTTATAATATTAATAATTTATACTTATATATATATATATTTTTTTTTTCTTCTGAAATCTATAAGGCAATTTCTTTCTGGTTTAAAAATTTTTTTTTTTAAAGATATATTTACAGAAAAACAAGGCAAAATACTCGAATATGATACTAAAAATATGTTTTTGTTTATATATATTATTTTATTAAATTTGTTTTATTTTTCCTTTATAATATTATTTATTATGACCAGACATTTTGAAAACTAGATATTAGACACAAAAAAATATTAGTATATAACACTGCAGACAATCCAGATTTATAAAGAAGTTTTTAAAAATACATTTTATAAAAATTAAAACATTAAAATCACACTAAAAGCTAGTTTTGGATATGTCTAACCCCTCCCCATCAGTGACGTAAAACCCCCCCAAAAATAAAGTTATTCTGAGAGCTCTGCAGCATCTGAACGTCTGAAGGAGAGGCTGCAGGTTCCTCCGAGAAATGAAGGCCATATGCTGCATGAGACGGCTGTTTGTCCAGTGCTTTTGCACTGCTCTGGAATCAATCACGAGGATGAGCTTTAATTGAGGAGATGCTCTGCCAGCCAGATCGGGGTCATCGGGTCATCCGGTGGCACTCCATACACACATTACAGAGAGATACCTGTGTTCAGCCGTCACTCGAGCCACGACGCCTGTCAGCACGCTGCTCTTAAGAGCCCCCAGAGGGCATGATGGGTAAACACCAACCACATACCCACAATACATCAGCCCTGAGACCCCGTGACAAACCGTCAACACGCGACACATGTCTGACTGTGAAGCTGCTCTAATCGATCAGTTTAGCTTTCTGAATAAAACACAGCTCTCTAATACAAGCATTAACTCAAAGCTTCAAAAACATTTCCAGAAGCATCAGTCTGCCATCTGCAGCACGCTTGAGGAGCGACGCTCACCTGCCTTCATCTGCCAACACAGAAATAAAGCTAAAACACTATTAAATATGATGAATAAATATCAAAAAATATATATTTTTAAGAAAAACTTAAACTTAAACTTAAAAAAAAACTCAAAGGAATTAAATTCGAAAACGTTGTCTTGGCAACTAACTGAAATAAATACATTTTAGTTAAAGTACTAAAATTATTAAACTGAACAAAATCAGGGTTTAGCATGCCAAAAGACTGACCTAAAATGGTTAAAAATATGATAAAATACGTAATATTTTAAGTATATATATATATATATATACACAGTGGGTACGGAAAGTATTCAGACCCCCTTAAATTTTTCACTCTTTGTTATATTGCAGCCATTTGCTAAAATCATTTAATATTTTCCGTACCCACTGTATATATATTATATATATGGTTTATAATTAAAAATTACATTTGAAATATATAATAAAACTTTTATAATATTAATAATTAATTTAAAAAGTATATGTATATACATACAATATATATATTTTTAAATATATTATAATATAAAAATATTAGATGAAAAAAACTAGTTGAAATGAAAACGGAAAAAAATACAAATAAAAGCTCATTCAAAATATCAATAAATTCTCTAAAATAGTATATAAATAATACTGAAATTACTCTGCAACAGAGACAGACATTTGACTGAATTCATGTCTGAGGTTTTTGCTGAAATCGAGATTATTTTTGTAGACAAATATAAATTGTGCCTATATATACACATTTCTTTACAAAACTAAAAAAAGAACAAAATGTAAAAAATCTGCCATGATTTACTCACTTCAGAAAACACACGAGTTTTCTGGACTACTTGCATGCTTTTTTTTTTTTTTTTTTTAAAAGCCACTAGAATATGTTTTCAATGAAAAATAATAAATACAAAGGGGTTACTTTCCAATAACCATAATAATGGCTGAGTACAAACATGTGTCCATTATCAGTTACTCCACAGCCACTACATTCATTCACCTTTATTCACATAAAAAATAAAACGGTGAATATTCACATTATTTTGAGTTTGTTTGATTCTTAAGTGTATATCACGATCATATTAGAAGGAAAAAATAAGATGCTTAACATCCATTTGACTAAAAACTCAAACCCAAGTCAAACATGAGCGAAAGTAAACGACGACAGAATGGTTTTTTTGGGGTGACCCGTCCCTTTAAGAAACAAACCCGAACAAAGAGAAAGCAGATAGGTTTGTGATGTGCTGAAGGTCTGACCTGCGGCGCTGCTCGACTGCCAGCTCTTGGCTGCGGCTGGAGGGACTCGCGGGGCTCCAGCGGACGCTTTGCTCATGGTTTTGACTGAAGACGTGGCATGAGAACTGGGCTGAAGCTCCTCTGCAGCCTCGCTGGAGAGAGACACAGAAATAAAGGGACTTTAAACCCTGCTAGACGACAAAACAAACACTCAAACATGCATCAGAAATCTCTGAGAGCACATTCGGATAAGCCTGATTCATTTGGATGTCGTTTACAGTCACGCATAAGCAAATATGACCAATATGAGCAGATTGATCAAATACGAGCGGCGCAGCGGTCCCAGATGGTTTGTTAATGAACTAAACCAGTGCCAACTTAAAGATAGCTGCTGCTGAGATGCTCCAGTTTCACCGTGTCACAAAACCTGTCGACGACATGCCCGGGTCACGCTTCACCTCAAAATGAGAATAAATAAAAATTATATTTTGCTTTACAGAAAAATATTTTGTAATTAAACATCATGCGAGATCAAATTTTCATTGCTTTAAATTGCTCAAAAAGAATATATTTAAATTGCTAAATATTTATACATCATTGCAGCACTTGTTGTACTGCCTTTATGCTGATTTAAATTAAATATAATAATGTATTTTTATTGTATTAAAGTAATGAAAAAATAAGTATAATCAGAATCATTACCGAGAAAAAAAATAATATAATAACAAATATTAAGGTAAGGAGAATTTGAGAGGTAAATGTTTTGTTTTTTTTTATTATGAAAAATGTCTAAATGCAAAAATTGTTTATGAATATATAAATGTAATTATCTATAATTAAAAAAATATATATATATATTATGTTAATGAGAATTTGAAGGGTAAATGTGTTTGTCATGAAATTAAAGGTGTAAGTGCAAAAACATTCTAAAATTTGTAATTAAATACAATTATATTATATAATAAAATTATATATAATTACACAATTACATTTTAATTATATATATTTTTTAACAATATTTAAGGCTACATGTGTTTGTAAAATAATTGTCTACATGTAAAAATATTATAAAAATTTTAACTACAAAAATATATGTAACACACACACAAATACATATATTAAATATATATATATATATATATATATATA